AAAGGAAGCATATGCTAGAAAACGTTAACCTTCATGTGTCATTCCAAGCCCACATGGACCTCCACTGCCTCTAAGATAGTGCTGCCAACTGCACAGCCTCGCGAACCACCTCTTCGAGTGTCACCTTTGGCAGCCCCAGCTTACTGTTCCAGACCTTTTCTTCAGCTTCGAAGTCGTACCCGACATCCACATCAGCCCCGAAACTGATTGCCAACAACCGAAACGTTGCGTGCAAATCCCCTGCTTGGAATTTCTCTCGAAACTGCTTGATCTCCGGGCCGCTCTCCTTCTCCTCAACGTGAAAATTGGCCTTAGTCTCCACTTCCAGTGCTTCGACAATCTGCCTGGTGCTGACCGTGAAGTCACATAAGAAGATCTGCTTATTTGCGGTCAACTCAGGATAGACCAAGACACGCGCAACTGCAAGGCCGGTGTTCTTGCTACTCGTAACGGCGAAGCGCCTATTTCCAGAATCGTATACCGTCGCCTGCCTCCCCTTCACATCAATGCCGAGGAAGTTACCAGACTTTGATGGATCGAGTGCCCAGTCCAGCCAACTACCGCAACAAATGCTGCTCCACGTCATCTTGCCGTGACTTTCGTCGCAAGTCTTGATGAGGTACTCCAGCATTTCTCCCTTGAGGTCGTATGTCGGTACGAGGGCGCGAGCCCGGGGATCGAGATTGTTGGCGCCGAATTCGCTGGGAATGAAGCGTTTTACGCCTGCTGCAAGTGCAGCGTCGATGAGGCGGAATGCTAGACCATCTCTTCCGCCAGCGGTGACTGGGCTGGTGGATAACGCGACTACGACTGCATCTTGACCCTTGAAGGCTTCTGTGAGCTCTTCTGTCGTGAAGGCGTCCGAGATTTTGATGATGGGGATGTGAGATGGAAACGAAGCTGATGAGGATGCGCGGCTGACAATGGTTACGTTGAAGGAGGGTTCCGCGAGGAGCGCGTCAAGTATGGGTGTACCAACAGAACCGGATGCTCCTAGGATGATGACGTTCTTGATGGGGCTGGACATTATGACACCTTTCGTCGCGACTTGTTTCTCGTACTGAATGAGATGGAGTTTGGCTGCCGAAGTGATGATGCGCTGCTCATCAACGAGCGCCTTCTCTTATACTAAACCGTCCATGGTGCCATGCTCTATAATCGACCTGCGCAACTGGCGATACTTTGAGTGCCGCGAAGGCATCTGATGCATCGGCTGCCGCATGGTAATGATGTTCAATGAGTTACCGGCATGTTTCGGCACGCTCTCTGCGCGATGATAGGTTCTGTAGAGCGATTACATGAAGTTAATAAGCAGCACGTGACGGTGAGAGGCATCTGCGGCATCATAAAATTCGCAGTTCGGCGGTTGCATTTGCCAGCGTATAGTAATCGTTAGGATGGGTAAGCCACTGAGTCTTCGCTGCAACGATCTCTTAAGTTACTCAGTCTGATGCCGGTTGAGGCGATGTGGTGTGTGCCGTTATCGAAACGAGATAGCCCAGTGGGATGTCGCATTGTTGTGGCGCAATCGCCATCTGTAGGCCTTCAAAATGTCAGAAACTGCATATGCATGCCGGTTCAGTATGAGTAAGCGTAGTCGCCAACTAGAGGGAGACAAGACATCTGATGCGAACACGCGTTGGCGGTTGTGGGAGGTGAAGAGGCCAAGTGGTAGCTGCAGCACTCTTCGTGACACGCGCTAAGATTGCGCGCCTCCACCTAGCAGCTTGCTCCTGCACACTCGACCACCTGCATCACCAGTACAGTACTGCCGATGCTGCATCTTTCAAATCATAGCATGTTGGCTTCATGACGTCGCGCATGAGCCAAAATCAGCCGCATGACTGATATTTCTACCTCGGCTGATGCCGCCTGCTTCTGATCCGGTGGTTCTTCTGCGCAGCACACCAAAGCCTTGCGCCACAGTGTTACGAGCAACTGTTATAGGAAAGATACCATCAGCAACCTACCTTTCAGAGAAGGACGCCCATCAGCGCTTGACTCATTACTAACCACATAGATTGACGAGAATAGTGTGAAAATGAGGATAAAGAGGAAGACTCTGATGCGCTGGTCGCGATTTGGACACAGTACACCACTTCTCCGCTTTCTACCATGACGGCAACATCCGAACATCTCGAAGCTTTCGCACCTTTGACATGGGCTACACCGTACCTGACATCTCCCAGCTGGATTGCATGTGACCGCCAGCGAGGCACCGAACCGGGTGAAGATACGGACCGATTTTGTCGCGACACTATGCGCGCGAACAACGGCGTGAGAAACTGGCTCGAGCTGTACGAGAAGCCGGCGCCGGGCGCCAAAGTCACCAAGTCGATATCTCTGATCAAGTATGGAACCGGCTTGAACGGCTTTCCCGGCATCTGCCACGGTGGCGCATTATTGACGCTCATGGACGAAGCCATGCTGCATATCCTGGTTGCCAATACTGTGCTTGAACATGGCCTTGGCTTTATGAAAGTAGGGGAAAACTATTGGAGACTCCAGCTTCATGATGGAAAGTCGGCACAAGAGGTGCTTAAGGGCCGATTAGCCACAGCCACCATGGACGTGAAGCTTCTGGCGCCGGTGTTATGCCCTGGTGTTGTCGGCATTGAAACGATTGTACTTGGGGACACAGGGAACAAAATGCGGATGAAAGCCACGATGAGGGATCGACAGGGCAAGCCGCTACTTACAGTCGAGGGGCTGTGGATCAAGATTCGCGGTGCTGCAAAACTATGACCACAACCACCGCCAGTGTGCGAAGCAAACCACGACAATCGCACACGCTTCTCAGTTCTCCGTCTCACTCTATATTTCCTATCGCAGGCTCGAGTAACCTGCCACCCAACGTCTATCTCCATCGCACGTGCGCAGGGATCCCGGATGATCTCGCATTGATCTCGGGCACGCTAACCTACCCGAGACCTGTGAGCTATTGGTCCTTCCTGCAACGGTAAACCTCCGAAATCAATGCCTGCAACAATATGTGCACTGCGCAGCATGTAAACACACATGCCATCCCTTTGGCCTACCATTCGTTATGACATCTAGGGTAGCCTAACCTATCCCGCACCACACCTGCGAGTCAACATCAAGGTCGTTGTATACTTAAGAGCAAGCCTACATTGGTAGAAATTTGATCAGACTGCACGATCAAGTTGTCAAGTCCTCAACACAGTTCAAGATGCATTCCATTCTGGCTTCCGTCTACGCTCTTTCTTCCCTGCTTCCCCTCGCCATTGCCCAAACCTCCGGCACGTTCAACACCCTCACTTTCAATGTCGCTGGTCTTCCTGCTGCCCTGAACGGTAACGATGTTCCCGGTGATAAGACAACAAACACTGCCCGTATTGGAAAGTTGTTCTCTCAATACGATATCGGTGTCATCAACGTCCAAGAGGACTTCAACTACCATGCCACACTATATGCCAACGACGATCACCCCTATAGGACACCTACCAGTGGAGGAGTGCCATTTGGCAGCGGCTTGAACACTTTGAGCAACTATCCTTACACTGGATTTCAGCGAGTCAAGTGGAACACGTGCAGTACTTTTGAGTAAGTCAAGCTCAAACGATAACACAAACACATTGCATAGTACGGCACTGACATAACACTCTGTCAACAGTAGTGCGGACTGCCTCACACCCAAGGGCTTCACTTTCATGCGTGTCAAGATTGCCGAAGGCGCAGTAGTCGACATGTACAACCTACACGCCGATGCCGGGTAAGTCACCCTACTTCCTCCAACCCTATGACAACTCACTAACCCTCCATAGTACCACAGCCGCCGACAACAAGGCCCGCGCAGCCAACCTGCGCCAAGTCTCCGACTACATCAAGGCCAACTCCGTCGGCAACGCCGTCGTCGTCTTCGGCGACTCAAACTCGCGTTACACACGCACCGACGACATCCCCGACGTGTTCAAGACCGAAAACGGCATGACAGATGTCTGGCTCGAGCTCGTCAAGAACGGTGTCCCACCTGCCAAGGGCGCCGACGCGCTTCTCTGCTCGAACCCGTCCACAACCAACGAGTGCGAGATCGTCGACAAGACCTGGTACCGCGGCTCTGACGCTGTGACGCTCAAGGCCACCAAATTCGATTACGCAGGCCACATGTTCCTCCAGGAGAACGGCGACTTGTTGAGCGACCACAACGGTGTGCTCGTAGACTTTTCCTGGAGCCTGAATGCCCGCCGAAGCGTGTCTGATGTGTTTGGCGGTGAAGAAGGTACGTGGTACAATGACCTGAGCGCCATCTCCAGTCTCGCCAGCCCGAAGGTGTCTTCCATCATGCTCCGTGGCAAGGAGCGCGTTGATGCTGTTTCCGTTAGCTTGGCTTCTGGACAGACGCTTTCGCATGGTGGGACTGGTGGCGAGGCGACTAGGTTGACTTTGGCTGCGGATGAGACGCTGACTTCTGCGCAGCTGTGTCAGGGTCAGAAGAACGGTAAGACGAGGATCTTCTATGCGCTGTTTACGACCAGTGCTGGGAAGACGGTTTCTACTGGTGTCAAGACGGATGACTGTGTTACGAGGACTGCGGGGACTGGTCGTGGTATTGTTGGCTTCCTTGGTCGTTCGGGCGACGAGGTTGACCAGTTGGGATTCATCTACTCGAGCGCTTAAGAATGTTTGATGTACGTGGCCTTTAGTTGGATCAATGGAATGTCTCATGCCCCTACAATTAATTTCGATCAACAACAACTGAAAAGTTAAATGCCTGAGTGAGCATGAGTAGTTTGCTTTAGGAAGCGGGTAGATGCTGACTGCAAGCACATGTGAACTGCACTCGCGATGTCCATATTGTTACATTGAGCTGTTCTCGTATCCTACATACCCATAAAGCAAATCCGCCTCCCCAAAATAGTGTGTATCAAAGGAAATAACAAGAAAGAAATTTTACAAGAAAACAGACAGCCCTCCCACTCTCAAACTGTTGAAGAAAGAAACATGACGTCTTGCAGTCGTATTCGACCACTCATAAAAGATCAGACGAGACCAGCTCTGAGATTGCACCATGACAAAGACGTCCGTCTCTAAGCATAAACCCACCCAGTACTGCGCCTCATAATCCACAGTAACCACCTGACCAGGTGTCATACCATCGCAAGTCGCCGGTGCCATTCCACCCACAGTGTTGAGCCGGTACACCATCTTGACACCACTAGTCGAGGCCGTTTGCGCTTCAAGCCTGAGCCACTTTACATCCTTAGTCGCATCGGGCGCAGGCGTATCGTCGACTTTCTTAGCCACCGTGTTGCCAAGACCCAGGATGTCAAAGTCGGGAGTAGTGGTGTCGAGGAAGAAGTGCGTGCCGATAGATGCGGATTCTTGGACGCGGCCTAGAGATGCAGTGCCAGCGGTAGGGTTGGATGAGATCTCGCAGGAGGCGTTGAAGAGTTGGGCTAGAGCGCCGATTGCGGCTGGTGTGGCTGTCGCGTTGCTGCATGTGTAGTTTTGTGTGCCCATGCCGAGCGCGACAAGGACGAGGGACATGTCGGCTGTTGGTGGTGGGAGCGCAGAGGCGGGCTGCTGGATGCCGCTGAGGTCGCAAGATGGTGCTCCAGGTTGCGCTGGCTCTGCGGGCGCGGTAGTGTTGGCGGTGTCGTCGCAATCCTGACGAGGATGGATTTGTGGGAGGCGTGAAGGCGCGGTCATGGCCATTGGAATGAGCGCAAAGGCCGTGAGAAAGAGTGAGGCGTGCATGTTGAAGATTGTTGGTAAAGATTGCTTTTGTGTATCCTGAACTTATGGATAGGAAAGAAGGTGTTGTTGGAATTAACGAGTATGCGAACCAATGTAGAGCTACCAGAGCCCGAAGAAACGAATGAAGAATGAGATAAGGAGGCTGAAAGGCTGAAAGCTGGATAATTGCGCTTGCTCTGGTCCAACCTAGATGAAGACGTCAGACGACTTATATAAAGTTCTGTCATCCCTTCGTCGGACCTTCTCAGGTAGCTTCTACATGGATTTAGATTGCAAATGCGGGTGATAACATGTCAAAACGTTTGACATGATCCTTAGGTCGATGTTGGTGTTTCGACAGGATCAAGATACGTTGGTACATGGATTAACGGTTGAAGTGCCGTGGTGTCGGGCGAGAGCGCGGTTTCGCGTAGGAGAATCTGTCGCGAGTCAGTGTGGCCAACGGTCTTCTGAAACGAGGCTTCCCAGCCTTGCGGTAGAAGAGCGTTGACGACGTTTGCAAAGACAAACAACCCGTGGGTCCTTCGATGCTGGCCAAGCTGCTAAGAGATTTCGAAGATCATAACAGGTCGTCAATATAACCTGCAAAGTTCAATGGCGCGCTGCGAAGTCTGTGTTGTAAGATTCGTCGTGCGCGCCACGATGCGCCGTCGTCGAACCTAAGGCGACAGGAGCCCTAGCTTTCTTAGGAAGGAAGCCACTCGAGAAGAGCCGCAATCTCACCCTGTCTGCGGCGTAGCTACAGGGAAATCTGATCAAGGACAGAAGTTCCATGTGACTAGCAGACAGTGTTGCTGAAACTGGTACCTGGGTACCTGCAGAACCTGCCACAGAACCTGAAACGTGGGGGATGAGCTGACGGCCCGAAATGGGGCAGGAAACATACCGAGTGCAGTTCGTCCGCTATCACACTGAAACAACCGCGACCGCTACCCGACTGCGCCGCAGTCGTTGAGATGTCTCGCGATGCTTTTGCCGCGTGTTGGTCTTCACGTGGGCCGCTCGCCGCCTGCAGGCAGGATGTCATCACCCGTTTCCCCAGACGTCGAACGTAACAGAAACCTTACCAGCGTAGAAGTGAGGAGTCGGTCCGCATTAGTGCAAGGCCAGCAGAAGGCCAGCCTGCACCTCCAGGTTCGAGACCGTGCGGTGGCTTGCCCTAGGTTTTCGAGGTGAGCACTTGTGGCAAAACGCGAGTAGGCAGGAAGCGTGTTCGTCCGTGTTGAATACGGTCGATGTAGAGGACCGAGAGCATCGCCCCGGCGACAGTGCTGTACCTAAGATCATCGGCGCTGATGGAGATTCGGACACTCGCGTCGTGATGATCCGAGTGAGACGGCCATATCGTCGGCCCTGAGTTCGTCGAATCGGATCGAGCTAGCGTCGTTGCTCTTTCCGCAGCTCCGCCTCAGCCTACACGTGTGTGCACTACGCAACGCCCTCATGTAGAACCTCTTTAGAAATACGCTGCCTCGGTTCTTTGGGTATGCGATAGTAATCATCCCACGATACACCATGGAACGAAGAGTGAGCCTCAAAGACCTCATTCATAATGCCGGCGTCATCCCCGTCGAACAGCGCCAAGCAGTCCTCCCGGCCCCAACACAGCCGGCCATCTCAGTCAGCGACGAGGACATCTCGCAAGCACGAAACATCCTGCTTGAACGGAGAGCCAAAAATCCCGAAAGCAAGAATGTGTTGAAGAGCATCTTCAAAAGCTCGAAAGAGAAGGACAAGGGACAGGATGGGGCGCAATTCTCGCAGGAGGAGCTCGACCAAGCCTTGTCCGCTGTCATCCGCAGTCCCACGACTGGACCTGGCCTAATCCAAGCCTTCCTCACTCTGGGCGCGAAAGTGAATATCATCGAGACAATCGACAAGAAGCGAAGATCGAGTAATCAGGCCAACACAGCATTGCGCCGCCGTAGCACGGTCTTGCAGCAGGCCGCAAGCCTGAGGAAAGCTGATGGTGTCAACATCCTCGCCGCCTCTGGTGCGGACCAACAGACCTTGGACGAAGGTCTGAAAGCTGCTCTGGCTGCCGGCGATCAAGAAAGTATAGGCCTCTTATTGCGACATGGGGCGGACCTGAACAACTTTCCCAATGCTTTGGCCAATGCGGTCCGGTCGAATGACCTGAACTTTGTCAAGCTCTTGTTGCGAGCACCAAAGCCACTGCGTGCTCAAATCATCAATTCTTGCTTACCTGCAGCGGTTCAGCAAGGCTCGGATGCTGTCATATCTCTGCTGATAGCATACGGCGCTGACCCGAACTTCGACTCCGCAAGCGCTCTCAACATGGCGATTGGAAGACAGGCCTACAAGCTGGCCATCGCTTTGGTCGCTGGCCCGATCCGTCTCAATGAACCGAACCTGCAACATGCGCTCGACACTACCATGAGGCTACCAACGCGACAAGCAACGTTGCAGTTCCTACAGCTTTTGTTTTGCTGCGGGCTACCTCCCGATAGTCGTGGTTTACCGGACTTCCTCATCTGTCTGGCAAGAAGCAACGACACTGCTGGCGCGAAGATGATGGTCAGCTATGGAGTACCGACCACGGCTGATGATGCAGAGTGTCTGAGAGAGGCCATCGAAAACTCAAACTGGAGCTTAGTGGATGTCATTCTTCAGACGTTCATCGCCCCTCAGCATGCGACAGCAGCGCTTGCTGTTTTGCCAACCAACACCCCACAGCCTGATAGACTTCGCATAGTTGATGCCTTGCTAAAGAAAGGCGCATCAGGTCCGCCTCTTGGTCGATTGCTCACGCAAGCCACCAAGGAAAAGGACACTCAGTTGATCGACCTCCTTCTTAGTGCAGGGGCACCTGTCGACTCAGGCGACAACGGCGCACTTCATTTTGCTGTGGTCAATCGAGACATCCGAACACTCAAGTCTATTCTCAACGCTCGTCCCCCGCCAGAGACACTGGCGAACGTATTTCCGCTCATCTTCCGTACTGATGGAATCTCCGTATCGGAGCGACGCGAAATCGCACGGCTACTACTAGAGTACGGCGCAGGTGGTCCAGGTGTTGATCAAGCACTAGTCAACGCAATCGCAGACACGTCGGCTGGGCGAGATGGGGCTCTGATAACAGACCTTGTTCGAAAAGGTGCAAACGTTGACGAAAGAGCCTTGTCGCTGGCAGTGTCACAAGTCGACATATCTCTTTTGCGTCTGCTCTGCAACACTAGACCCAACTCCTCGGCGACATCGGCAGCCCTACCTCTCGCCTTTGATTCACGAGCTGGCAGACATTCAAAAACACTCGAGATCATTGACTTGCTTCTCAATCATGGAATTGAAGAAGAGCCAGCTAGTCAGACGTTACAGATTGCCATCAATGGCGGCCCCGACAACATTGATATCATCGAGCGGCTCCTCACTGCCAGCCCTAGACTGCTAAGCACCGCCTTCAAGTACACGACAGCGATTGAAGATCCCCACAAGAAGGCACCAATACTCGATGCTTTACTGAGACTGGGAGTACCACAGGACGCTCTGGATCAAGCCCTTGCCACGGAGACACGACAGGCCGTTGCCACAAATGACACAACCAGTACCAGGTTGCTGTTGGGACAAGGAGCATCTGTGAGTCACAACGATGGCGAAGCGTTGAGTGTTGCGGTAGCTTCAGGAAACAGCTCGCTAATGGCATTAATACTCAGTGGACGTCACCAACCATCACGATCTAACGTCACGAGATCGTTCCGTACATTGTTCACCGATGAGAAGTTGATGTTGGAAGGGAAGAAAGAGAGCATTGGTGAAATGGCACAAGAGCTACTGGCACGCGGAGTAGAACAATCTGCCATCGACGCAGCTCTGCGACTAGTCCTCAGCAACGAGCATAGTAAGTATACGGAGCCCTGGATTGATCTGTTGCTTCAATATCACGCGGATGTCAACACGGCGGATGGGGCATGCTTCGTCTTCGCAGCACAAAAGCACAGTCACACCATCTTTGAGAAGCTCATGCGTCACAACCCCAAGTTCAACGTCGTCGTTCCAGCGTTATTGAGTTCCAAGCTCCAAGACGAAGTAGTCGTTGCCGCAATACAGTCATGCCTCGATCACGGTTGCATACTTGAACAGCTCGGTGTCGGCTATAATAAGCCACCGATACTCATCACCACCATGACTGTGTACCCACGCAATAGCGCGCTCATTACGTTACTCTTGAAGCACGGCTTGAATCCGGAAACAACCATCCCCACGGTCCTCCATTCGTCCTGCGGACCCGAAACTGTGCCCGCACTGCTTTGGGCATTAGCTCAACCACAAAAGCGCATTTCGGACGCCGTTATCTCCGCCCTTTTGGAAGCTGGAGCATCCATTGACCGACTTTCTGCCGCTTCGGAGACTACGGCACTTATGCTGGCCGCTCGTGAGGGGCGTCATGAGATAGTGAATGCACTAGTCGTGCGGGGTTCGGATGCGGATCTTCGGGATGTCTGGAACAAATCCGCACTCTTCTACGCTAGCAGCAGTGTGTCTGGGGAAGCCACAGTGAAGTTACTAGCGCCATGCTCGCTAGCGAATGACGGCAGCTTGCATGAGTCAGCTAGAGAACTCAACGTCGAGGTCACGAAGGCCTTGTTGGAGCATGCTCATGATCCAAACTACCCATCCCGTCTCCATGGCGGTAGAAATGTCCTTGGGGAGATATGTCTGAACGCAAGAGTCTCCACATCCGCGCATCGATCGAAGCTTCGCCAGCTACTGCGTCTTCTCCTATCCAAACGCGTAAACCCCAAATTCCGCGCTCGCAACGAGAAGTCTAGTGTCATCCTCGCGCTCGACAATGCCTACAGCGCCCTTCCCATCACAGAGGCTCTGCTAGAGACAGAGATATGGCAAGACCTCAACGATGAAGCACACATCTACTGCGATGGAGCCTCAGGCCTCCATTACTCACCCTACTCCTACGTCGAGCTGACCGCTACGCCCGCCCGCGCTCCCGTAAAAAAGGCCCTACTCGATCTCCTTCGCGACAAAGCCTGTCTCCCAGTCTACTATTCCTCGTCGGCACTCCAACCCGTCGGAGCAACAGGCATCCCACCCGCGATCGCCAAACTCGTAGACAAGCAAAAGGAACACGAGCTCTCAATCTGCCACGAGAAGGAGAAGTTCGAGCACACTCGCACGATCGAAGAAACAAGCCACAAAGACATACTACGAAGAAAGCGCGAGAGCCAAACCGTCGAACTGGAACTGCAAACCAAAGCAACACAACACTACACCGCCCTGGAGCAGCAAAAACACGACTTCGAAGTCCACCGCGTAAGGGAGGCGGAACGCATGAAGCGCTCGGAACGAGTAGCGTGGCATAACTTGGTCCAAGAGCAAGAGCGCGATGCCGCTGCTGCACGGGCGAGTGCAGAGGAGAGGAAACTGAGAGAGGCCATGGCGGCTGAGAGCAAGATGATTGAGCAGCGGAAACAGGAGTTGGAGCATAGGGCTGGGGTGGAGAGGCGGATGTTGAAGGAGAAGGAGGAGCATTATGAGAGGAATGTTAAGAGGCAGAAGGAGGTTAGGCAGATTGAGGGTGGGCCGCCGCAGTGGGGGACTGTGGATTAGTGGTCATGATGGGGAGGTAGTGGGATGATATCACGAGTTTCTTTTGGGTTGGCGCAATGGCGTGGGTTGGGGGACCGGTCTACCTTGCACTTGAAAGAATTCATCGCTCATGACATGAGCGTTACATTGGACTATGCTCTTCCAAATGTGTACATGGGCAGACTTTAGAGTTTCTTCACCTTCATCTTCATTGGCTCACGCGTCTGAGGTGTCCGAATGCGTCCTGCCTCCTCGGCAACGCGCTCACCTTCGCTTCGCTCCTTCCTCATCAAAACACCGTGCCACATCCAACCCAACAAACAGCCGCCACTACGACCTTTACTTCTCCACACAGCAATTCCAAGCCACAGCAGCACCACTACAACGATGGATCCGCAGCAGCAGTACATCGCGCAAGTCAAAGAAGAATACGATGAGCTTGGCATCTGGGTGCCGGTGAATGAAGAACCAGAACCTGCCGAGGGCGTGTCCGCTGCTGTCCTTAAAGTCGAGCCGACCGATCAAGTAAGTTTATCTATGACAAGCTTATTAACTCGTAAGCTATTACATTTACTACCGCATGCTGATACAAGCAGTCTCAGACTACCACTACCCACAACAAACCAAAGAAAGCCAAGAAAGCCAAGAAAATCAAACGAACCGAACCTCTGACAAAGAGAGAACGACATGTCCAACGTCTCGAGACGCTGAATTCCCAACTCCGCAAAGATCTCAGAGAGGCCCGCGACGGAACAACAGTGCAGCTGATGAAAGACCTCGAGAGTCAAGTCCTCTTGCTGCAAGAAGCCATTGGATCGAACAAAGCCAGTATCATCAAAGATCTCAAGCTAGAAAATCTGCAACTACAGAAGAAGGTCGAGAACTTGCAGCGAGAGGTCAAGAACGCAGAGCGAGACGTTCGAGCTCACAACAACAGCATTGAGGATAGAGAGGAAAAGGTTGTGCTCAAAGGACGAGGCCACAAACTTGCGCAGGCAAAAGCCCAAAGCGATCTGGCAGTCCGTAATCTAAAGAGGAAACTGAAATCAGAGCACAAGGCCAGAAAGAGAGTGGAGGATCGCTGGCGTTTGGCTGAGGCGCGCCTGGCACGCCTCACGGGTCTCGAGGGAGATGGGGCTGAGGTGACTGAAGAGTTGCTTAACGAAGAAGAGTCTATGGAAGAAGATGTTATCAAAGATGAAGATTTGATGGAGAGTGAGTGGTAGTGGGCAATACAAGACGTATGTGAAAAGCTGCACAGTGACGCGGAACTCTTATACAGAAGCTATTATGGCTTGAACTTTACATTAAACTATGCTCTCCTAATCGTAGACATTTGCAAACTACGGGGTCTTGTCACTTCCGTTTGCGCCTGCCTCCGATGTATCCAATCGTCATCGCGTCCCCTTGGCAACAGGTTCACGACCACCTGGGCACCTTGCTCCTTCCACATCAACAAAGCTAACCACGTGCGCACTTGCCGACCTCACAACACCTCGCCTCTGCGGCCTGGACTTCTACACGAAATTTCGATCCGAACCCGCAACGATCACCCAGTCACTATGGATCACCATCAGCAGTACGGAACGCGAGTCAAGTCAGAAGATGTTGAGCTCGAACACTGGGTGCCAACCAAGCAAGAACACGAAGTTGCAGAGCGCGTTCCTGCCGTTGTAGCCAAAGTCGAGCCATCCGGCGAGGTGAGTGCACCTCGTCTTTGGACTATCTCATACAATAAAGCACTGCTGTCTCTGAATGCATACGCTAATCGCAGTGCTGTCAGACCGTCGCTACCTTCGACCGACCAGAAATCGCGCATAATAAGGCTCGAGAGTTTCCGCCTTCTACTGGCAAACGCAAACGTGGTTCAAGATCCAAGAAGCCGCCGAAGAGAGTGCGCGACGCAGAGAAATTGCGAAAATCAGGGGAGATGCCCCATATTTACACGAAGAATGAAGGAGCAGACCAGAACTTACAAGCCGAGAAGTTCGAGAAGAACGATGTTGTTCCTCGTCACAAACTTGATGAGGCTCTCGCTGCGAATGCCCTATTGTCGAAGTCTAACGAGAATAAACGCTCACGGATGAACACACTGAATGACCGGAACCAACGACTCCGCCAAGAGCGCGACAAGGCCGTCATACAGCGAGCAGAAATGCTTTCGCAACAACACGCAAGGCTCTCGACCGAAAGCATAAGCAACATTGAGATACAAAACTCTCGACTCCGCCAAGAGCTCGTCGACGCTCACAAGACGATCGCGGACACTCGAGCAAGCTTGCAAGCTATTGCTCAGAAGGAGCAACTCTCGCCTCCCCACCAAGAACCCGAATCAGTCGTCTTTACCAAAGGAGTGAGTACTACAAGAGCTCTGCGACTCGAGATATCCGAGCTGGAGAGACGACTGAAGGAAGCACTCGTGGAGGGCGAGAACGCTAAACGCGATGCTCGTGCATTCAAAAAGAACAACGTCGACGCCGAAGCTCTGGAGAAACAACTTGCAGTGGAGAGGGCCAAGAACAGAGCCCTGGTTGGTAAGCTGCAGAAAGCTCTAAAAAGTGAGCACAATGAGGACAACGACGAGCAAAGTGGCTCCCGCAGTTTCGATGAGAAGAACGTGGGCATGAAGGGCTTGCTGGAATATTGTGGTGGGCAGACTGAACAGCACATCAAGGTTGAGGATGAAGATATGGACTCTGAATGAGATATATAGCGCGAGATGTTGCGAGAGAGGACAGTCAAAGCGCATATAGGAGTGAATAATAGCCATCGTAAGCAGAAGCACGAGCAATTGCGATGATGTAGCATTATGATAATCACGGCACATCTGACCGAACATCGTATGTCACGTTACCCCATTCCTCTCTGACACATACTGTCACACGTCCAAAGTTGAGAAGCAGCATGTGAATCATTCATTCTCTGACCAACACCGGGTATAAACTACACCATCCTTCCCCATCCCCACATATCACATAACATTCATACCATCATCCCAACCCACCAACCCCCATCACTGAACCTCAAAAACCCCACTAACCCCCTCAAACTCCTCAATAGCTCCCCCAACTTTCTTCGCATCCCCATAATACCTAATCCTGTACCTCCCCTTCTCCACCCCCATAATCCCCGTATCCCAACTAATCGTCACATCACTCGTGCCCGTAAGCCCATTCACGCGTTTCCACTGATACACGACCTCCCAATCCTCGTCGTTCTTAACCTGCGTCCACACCCCACTACCATCACCATCACTGCTCTGTTTCTCTATAGCCGCAAACGTGCCTTCAAGACGGAGGTTGTTACGCGGATTCGCGCCGACGAACGTCGCGGAGACGGTGGCGCCGCGGGCGTAAGTGGGTAGGACGTCTTTTGTGACTTGGCCGAAGGAGCGGCCGAAGCCGGGGCCGTCGTAGACGACGCCGGTGATGAGGGAGATGGATTTGTCGCGGTTGTCCGGGGGCGAGGGGCCGGGCGGAGGGGGTTGGAGGGAGGAGTCGGATAGGTAGGGGAGGTATGTTAAAGTAGAGTTGATGTAGGCGTTTAGGGTGTGGGGGCCGTAGAGGGTGGAAGCGCCTTCGTAGCGCTGGATGCTGTATTCTTCTTCCGTGGCGATGTAGTGCGTGTAGCTGTTTGCTGGGCCGCCTAGTACGACGATGGGTGAGGTGGCGATGGCAGAGGAGACGACGGCGTTGTGGACGGCTTCGCGCCAGCGGCGGCCGGACATGGTTGTTGCTTCGCCGGGGGACACGATGATGACGAGTTGGCCGACACGGAGGACTTGGATGTCGACGATGTTTGGGGACCAGGGGTATGGTACGTTGGCTTGTCCGACGTTAAGTAAGACGGGCTTGGGGTACTGGCACTCCTTTTGCTCTTTGCTTGGTGGTGCGATGGCGCTGCCGACGAGGTTCCAGAAGGGATTCGAGGGCGCACCGGGGTCGTTCTGGACAAAGTCGAACGCGCCAGGGCCGTCAGATGTGCCGGCTGCGAAGGAGTTGCCCATGGCTGCGGGACATGTGTGGACGACGGATCCATTGCTGAGGGTGAAGGTGAAGTTGGAGAAGTCGACGTAGGTGTGGAACGAGCGGACTTTGCCGGAGATGGGCGTGAAGGCATTGAAGTCGTAGATGCTCCTGGCACCCTCGGCCTGACGCCTACCGATCTCGTAGCAGGACTTGTGGCCTCCGTCGTCCAGACCGAAGAATGGTCCACGACCGTGGCAGTCCTGGCTCTTTCCTCCGCAGGTGCTGTCGTTGAGTCGGCACTGCTGGCCTGACCCGTCTTCGCAATAGGCGCCGAGTACGTTCGGGGTCGTGTCACCGACGTTGGCTTGTGAAAAGCCTGCCACAAAGCCCTCGGCAGCATTTGAGTCGGCCGCATTGGCCTCCATATCCTTTTCCAGCAAGTACGCCGCCACGCCCTTGTTGTCTCCAGCAATGAGCGTCTGGTTTCCAAGCATACTGGTGCCATGGACAGGGAACCAGTTCAGAATGCCGATGCTCTTTCCATCACTAGCTCTCGTAAACTTCAGAAGTGTCATGGTCTTGTCCACATTGTCCGTGTAGCGATCGCGTTCCGCTTGTGGGTTGGCGAGGTAGGCGAACAGACTGCGGTTGATGTTCGCATCAGCAATCTTCGCACTGCCAGCGTTGACAGTTCCCAGGGTAAGTCCTTCATGCGCCCTCTTGATAGACAGAAGCGTTCCGTCCACAATCGCGCGATAGCTCTGCTTGTCGAAACCCTGACTCGTGATCTGCGGAAGGAGGTAGTTCAACCAGGCTCCTGGTCCGGCATGACTGTGGGTGCCAGTCACGGCGACATTGTTCTTCCCGTATACAGCGTATTCGGAGCCCATGGCCTGAAGCCCTTCCAAGATGCCATTTCGGATGGCAGTGTCTCCGGACTGGGTGTCGAGAACGAGGTACACGAAGCGTTCGCTGGCTTCGTCCGGGTTGCCGACGATGAAGGCGCGGGAGTAGAGGCGTTGGCGGAGTCCAGATCCGATTTGCGACGAGTTGGCGTAGCCCATCATGTTGAGCTCGACGACGGGACTGTGGCAACATTAATACAGTCGCATAGTGATATTCTCGCCACCCACCCAGTGATATCCGCCTTGCCAACGCCGACAAGGTACGAAGACGCATCGCCCGCCTGGCCTCCATCCTGCTTCTCGCTGTTGAAGACATCCTGCTGGGCTCCAGTGTACGTCTGATCGAGGCGCGCATGCCAGAAGTCGACGACGGGAAATCCGAGATTGATGACGAGCTGGGCGATGATCAACGAGGCAACAAGGGCCGCACCCAGTGCGACTGCGATGTGTGAGCGCGCCATGGACGCGAGGAGATGTCTGGGCGGAAGTGTGCGGAAAGAAGTTGGAAGCCGTTGGACGGGGCGCGGCGAGGTTCTTGTACGCTACTGCTGGCACCGGAAGCTACGCGTGCCAGACGTGTAGAGGGTTGCACATGGGCGTACAGTCGATTAGCAAGGAAGATAGATTGGCAGGGAGACAAAGTATCGCCGCTGGCCACACAGCAGCGCGAAGCTTGACAGTCGCGCCTGGCACCTGCATTGCATGACGTTGCGGGGTTCCTCGCCGTCTGGTTGGCGGGGAGCCCGGACGCGATCAGTGCCTAAATCTACCCGTGCAGGCCTGCTTCTCTAGCACGTCTAGTTTCGCGACACCCTTCCACCTCACCTGCGCATCCAATACACCATCTGCCATCCACCTCGCCCTTATCCCGGCCCGCTGCACGTCACTTGCCCGCCATGCCCCTCATCCAGGAATCCTACGACCATCTCCCTTGTACGTCCAATTTACACACTGCCCCAACACAGCAACCATGTCCGATGCGCCCAGTCACGCGCGACATCTGGACTGATAACCCCCGTATTGCCTCGCTAACCACTTGTAGACGTCGATACGGAGCTCTCAGCTGCGAGCCTGGTCGCAACCAGACATGCCATCAACGCCGATATCAGAGCCGCGGGCGTAGACACAACAGACATGCATCCAGCGCTTATACCAGCAGCCACGAAATACACACCCACCTTTTCCGACTTCATCACGCGCGAGCATGCGCGCCTCGACGACCATCCTACGTCGAAGCTATCCGGCGTCGATTTGAAGCGCTATGAGGATCTTGATGCGCCGGAGAGCACGACGCCGACTAGCGACGAAGAGAGGCCGGAGTTGCTGGAGCGGTGGAATAAAGCGCTCAAGCAGGCGTATACGAGCTCGGAGTATGTGCAGGGCAGGCTGACGCAGTTGGGGCTGTTGGAGAAATTCGGGAAGAATGCGTGGTTGGTGGGTAACTCGCAGCTGGAGGATATACTCAAGGGCGTCGAGGCTGAGCTGGCGGGTTTGGGCAAGCAGCAGGAAGAGGTGGAGATGGCGAGGAGGTCGCAGCAAGATAGCGCGGGTGCTGAGCTCAAGACGCTCGAGGAGACGTGGAAGAAGGGTGTGGGAAGAGTGCTGGAGACCGAAGTCGCGGCTGAAGGGTTGAAGCTGCAGATTCTGGAGAAGAGGAGGGCAGGCGCGGTTTGAAAATTTCATCACCATCGAGTGAAGAGGATAGCTAGGTAGTTGCATGATACCCAATACACACCATTACGCAGAGCCACTGAGCAGCATCATCATACAAGGCGCATAGGCACATCTTCAGATGAATACGCAATTCAGTGATCATTACTAGGAACTATATAGCTAAAGTAGCAGGGGTACTCGTTTATAGAATTGAAAGAACACACGCCTCATTCGCCATCGCTGCTCTGCTCATCCGCAAAAACAAGTCAAGGAAAACCGTTTCATCCCTTTTTGGGTATCGAACTCCATCGTCATTAGCTGAACCTTGGAAATGAAAGACCATCCACTAGTAAACAATACGTTCGTCAAAGACGGGTGCCTCGCGCGAGTGACCGTCCTCAACACCCTTCCAGTACACCTTGCCCTTCTCGTTGAAGGTAGCCTGCTCATCCGTGATGACGAGTCCAGGGACGGTCTTCTGTGTGTCCCTGATCTCGCGCGTGCTGATGCCCATGTCGTCCTTTACGATCCAGATGACGGGGGTGGGGCTGGTGACGGAGGGGTTGAAGAAGGCGCGCTTCTGGATCTCCATTGGCAGCGGCTCTTGCGGGTGGTGGTAGAACTGGTCGAGGGATGCGGAGAGGTTGTGGATCGAGTTCTTCTCGGGGTTGAACATCTTGGCCAGGAAGCCGGGCATGCGAGTGGCCTTGGGGGCGTAGCTGGGGGTAGCGTCGGTGGTGTGGACCTTCTCGCCGTTCTGTGTGTGCATGCCGTCCTCGTGGTGGCCGTTGGTGACGCTGCCGTGGGCAGGGGATGGGTCGGTGTAGGCGAGGCGAGCTTCCTCGTGCTTCAGGGCGAATTTCAGAGTGAACTGGAAGACGAGAGTGAGGAAGAGGAGCAGGCACATGATGGCCAAGGGACCGACGGCCTGAATGTTTTTGGCCGTGGCAATAGCAAAGAGACCGATCAGGCAGATCTCAGACAGGTAGATACCGGTCATGAGCTGGCGAAGAGCCTTCTGGTAGGCTTCGCCTTTGGTGTCCAGGTTGGTCTCGTACACGTAAAGGAAGTTGTACCTGAAGGCAACGTAGATGAGGGAAAAGCCAATCGTAGCGAAACCGAGGATAAGAGGTGCAATGCCAGAGTAGGTGATACCAATGACAGCCAGGTTGACCCAC